CGGCTGGAGCCCTTGCCCCCTCTCCAAAAGCCCCGGCAGTGACGGCACACATAGCCGCCTTTGGTCTCGCCCTTCTTCTTGTCAACAATCTCCCAGGGGGAGACGGAACTCAGCACCAAGCCGCATTCCATGCGAGCCCAAAAGACATGGGCCGTCTTGTCCCGAGCGACCTTGCGCTTGTAGTCATCCGAAGCCACGCTGGAGACATTGTCTGGCGTGATGGGTGGCAGGGACCGCTCCTGCTCCGCCGCCGAGGGGTCAAGGATAATCCTTTCAGCGCCAAAGGCAGCTGAGGTATCCAAGTCCCCCAGGCCGAGCCCCTTGATGAAGCTCTCGGCGTAGCCCAGCTTGCGGTAGATGGGGCCCGCGTACTCTGGCCGGAGCCGGGCGGTCCACCACTGCTCCGTGTTGCAGCGCCAGGCCATCTTCACCTCCACCACCGCCTGTTGGCCGAGGGAGGCGGAGAGGTTGTTGTAGATCTCCGGGAAGTCGGAGAAGGCCTTCAGGGGGAGGGTGATCCTCTCGTCACACACCGCCCTGAACCTGAGATGCTCCTTGGAATCGTGGATGTCCGCCACAGGCAAGTCCATCACCACCTGTGGGGTGCGACTCAGGAAGACCTTGGCCGCAAAGAACGAGCCCATCTCCCTGTAAAGTTGCTTCCATTCCAGGTCCGTGGTGGGCACCGGGAGGTCATGCAACAGAACGAAATCCTTGGCCTCCTTCTGGATCTGCCGGAAATCATCCCGGCGCTGGTTGTTCGTGGTCGCATTCTTCGCCCCCCGCTTGTGGGCTGCCAGGGTAATCGGCAAGTGGCTCCACACCGCATAGAGGTGCCGGGCCGTGTAGCTGTGGCCAAAGCAGCTAAAGAGGCTCACCAGGTCCCAGGTCTGGACCTCCTTCCGCCAATGGTAATCCTCGTCGTCGTCCTTGGCGTGGAAGGGGCCGACAATGTGCTCGAGGCGGGGCCTGTCCCCCATGGCAATCTGAGCGTCCAGCTCCTCCTGGGTCAGGGCAATCGGC